TGCTCTTGTGCCAGAAACCTGTGCTGTAAGGCATAACAAGGTGCGTAAATGTGTGAGGCACTGTGCAGGCTTCAGACACTTCTATCACTTGGGGCAGTTGGCCCCCGATGGCTAGCAGTGTAATTGTGCAGGGAAGGTCTGATTTGCCTCTCTAGCTCCACCATCCGCAATTTGGCACCATATTTTTGCCCCTGCTGACTGTCCTAAAGGGGGTCCCCTGGCTTCTCTTTTGGTTTGGCCAATGGGAATCATGCCAGACAACCAGGGAATAGCAGAGGGTCAGGCTGTTTCTTGCCCCTGGCACAGCACAATGGATTGACTGCCATGCTCTACTGAAGGTCACAGCCCTTGTCTGGCAGCCTGCCCTGTACCATTCAGCCCCCTCTGAAGATCTGTTTCATAATAGCCACTCTTACCCTTGCCCTTCAAGTGGAGGAGTGATCTAAGTGGGTAAATGTTACTAGCCCCAGGGGACTGCTCCATCTCTCAGTGCTTTTCCTAAGCAATGCAGACATCTTTACACACTGTCTCTAGCAAATTCTCAAATCATCTAATTTGAGTGTCTGGTCCATGTCCACACACACACACACACACACACACACACACAAACACACACACACACACACGCACTCAGGCTGGCCTTGAGCTCACTTTGTAGCCCAGGCTGGTCTTGAACTCATAACGATCCTCCTGCCTCAGCCTCCCGAGTGCTGGAATTACAGGTGTGTGCCACCATGCCCGGCAAGGACCGAAAATATCTTTATGTTCTCCGGTCAATGTTTTAAAAAGATTTGGGGCAAGTTACCAACTTGTATGGAATCTCACCACATATAGGACAGTGTACGTCATAGTGGAATGCAAGAAACTGGTTGTGCTGAATTGCTTTTGCTGCATCAAATTTAAAGATAGACCCTCTTGACCTGGTGCCACTTTTTTTTTTTTCCTGGTTCTACTCGTATCATATCTCAAAACACCTTTCACTTTGGTCAAGGTTGGGCTTTCTGTTAGTACCAAGATTCATTTGTTAATCAAATTTACTAGATCCAGATTTGTCTGGTGTGGAATTAGAAAAGGTAGCATGAACTAACTATGAGGTAATTAACTACTTGTGGATTTTAAAAAGGCAAAGCACCTGCCTAAACAAGTAAGACCATCCCATCCCACAAGCTTATTCCAGTAACAATATACTATACTGAGAAGAAGATAGCAAATTCTCAGAATATGGGGTTTTTCACTTGTACTACCTCAGCCCTGTTCTAAGGAAAGGTTGGGAAAAGGATTCTTTTCATTCAGAATTGCTGTGAGGCATGCTACACACAAGATAAAAACAAAAGGGTAATGATGTAAGAAAGCTTAGCTCGAGAGATTGGTTGGTGGGGTGGAAAGAATAACTGTGTTTCATTTGAGCAGTGCACTTCACCACAGTATGAGTTACCACAAAGTCCCCAAGTTCCCCGCAGCAGTAGAGGTTAATTGCAATACCTGCGACAGTCTCTGAGTGACAGCTCCAGAGGGTGCTGGGGCTTCTCTCAACTAGCACATCACCAACGTCTCAAGAGTCCACAGACAGGTAGCAGGAGTGCCCTTGCTGGTGGGCACCCTATCATGAGCATACCATGGGAAGCTCTAGCATGAGCCAAAGGCTGTAGCTGCCAACACATGCGGTCACGCTGCCTGCAACTGCAGAGGATACTGCTGACTTTGGGAGTGGCAGGAGAGAGCAACCTCAGCAGTGGACAACCTGGCAAGGTAGTGGTTAGCCACACTCATATAGCTAAGATGATTCTAGAAGCCATAGTTTAAAGAGACACTTCTCTTATATTGGTTCTCTTCTTTCTTCTCCTGCACAGAAGTGCATTTATAGTACTAGGTGATCTCGTAAGACTCCAGAAAAAGAGCACTGAATGAACAGTTCTAAATTGAGAGAAATCAAAGCAATAGCAAGTTCAGGGTGGCCAAGGGCAGCACAAGGACAGTAATAAGCACAGGATAAGAAACACCATCTCCTTCGCATCTCTGCCAAGACTGAGCATGGATGCCACAGCACAGAATCCCAGCGGCACATGCGCAACAGGAATGCTAGAGTCTTAAACTCTCATTTCACTAAATTAATGAATAATATACTCTAGGAAAAGCAAAGAACACTAGGAAGGAAAGCAAGAAGTGGAGAAAGTGGGAAGGCGGGAAGGGGAGGGGATGAAAAAAGAACAAAGATGTGCTATGCACGTGCAGAAGCTCCTCCCGATGAATGTAGTCAGTATGTACTATAAACGTGGACTAGTAAAAATTAAAATTAAAAAGGACCACTGGATAAGTAAAAGCACAACACTTTGAACACCTTGATCTGTTTTGGATCTAATTTGTGTCCCTCTGCTCCCTATAGAACTTTGTTTTCCCAAGGTCAAGGAAGCCGGTGACATCCCAGGAAATGTGTCCAACTGTAAACCAAAGACCCATAAGACTATAGTTTATTAAGCAACAGATTTTGAGAAAATCATAGGAAAAATGTTAACTTTCTCAAATTAGCAATAAATGAAACGGCAACCATATGCTGGTATCCAGTAATAGGATAACAACCAAGTTTCATGCAAGCATGGAATATATTCTTCTCCTCTGGAAGCCATCAGGTTTCTCTGGAAACCCGACGTATGCCAGCAGATGACTCAGCACGTAGAAGGCTGCCAAGCAGCTGAGCACCTGACCAGGAAGCCCAGTGAGTATGTTACAGTCCTGCCACTGGGGAGTAAGCTGGCTGGGGAGCCCGACACCTGCTCCACACCAAGGCTGGCCTTCTCTGTCTCGCTGTGCAGTGGCCTCTCAGAGCCCCCCAAAGAGCACTCTCATTATTAGCTTGTTCCTCCCCACCCTTCCCATCTCATCTAAGACCCTCAACAGCTCTGAGAACAGATCAGTCAAAACAGACCAGGAAACCCACTACTGATGGAAAGTAGGACCCTCCTCTGAGCTTCTGGAAGTGGAAGAAGGTGGAAGGCAAAGACTAAGGAATATTTTTAGAAATACAACTGCCCTAAAATATTATGGTGGATTTAAAAAGTAATTATGACGTTTACTTCCTTCTCTCTTTGGCAAAGTCCATTGTTTGGAAAGAGTGCCATAATGCAGTGATACAGACTAAAATCACCAGGGTAGGAATAAGAATTTATAGATTCTCATTTTTATTTTTTAAAGCAAACTTCAGTAAAATTAAATCACTCACACTTTGACAGATGATGAGAAAAATAACCTACTAGGTGTTTAGCATGCTTCAACTTTGGAAAATCAAATGTGGGCAGGAAGACTAAAATGCCTATATATATTTTAATTAAGTATATAAGAATTTTATCCTATAAGTCAAATACTGGAGAAAAATAAAATGGTACGAAGTAGTTAATGTCTTGGGGAAGTCACAAGTTTACAACTGTATACATGGAGGCTAGAAATGGTCTTGAGGTTCATTTGCCAATATGTTCTCAACCACTAAAGTAATAGTGATACTACAAATCTTGCACCACCCAACTTTCATCCACTTGAGAAAAGCAAGGTTTTTCTATAATCATATAGGCTGATCTTATTATACATGCCTACCTAAGACAACCAACAAAATATTAGCTACATATATAGTAAAGGGCAGAAGGAAAGGCTTCCCTTCACCCTCTGAAGATTCCTAAGAAACAAACTGAAAAGAAACATTAAATAAGAGAAAATATACACAAACATTACACCCACAGAGAAAGTCACAAAGTGTAATTAACCAATATTCCAACATGGTACAGAAGCTTATAAAACTACTTTTTTTGCAGAGCAAGAGGAAAATGGAAATAGAGACAAACTTTAGGAGAATATGAAATGATATTTAGAGAACTCAATGGGCTTGAAAAATGTCTAGCCACTGGAACTACCTGAGACAGAGTCCACTGGGCCTGAAGAACAGACAGAGGATTGGAAATGATTTTTTACAAGAGAATTTTTAAAAATTGATTGGCACTGAAAGAGAAGACAGTGGCACTTAATGAAGAGTCCAGGTCTGTTGACAAAGTTCAACCTATCTTCAGGCCACTTAAGTTTCCTCACTGCAGGGCCAAAAGTCATTTGGCCATACAGACTTTAGGCAGACAAGAAGGTATAGAGTTCAGCTTGTAATACCACCTAGTGATTTCAAATTCCTCTAATTTATAATAAAATTAAAGTATACCATACCAAAAGTACCTAGACTGTTTCAATAGGTAACCTCTGAATATCAAAATATCTGTATCTTTTGAAAGCAAAAAGGTATAGATACACACATACATACACACACATACACATGCACACACACACACACACATGAGAGAGAGAGAGAGAGAATTAAATTATATCCATCTCTAATTCTTCATTTTTTTAAATTTCACATAATCCTTTCTATAAAGAGCAAAAATACCTAGATTCCTATTGCATTTAAATACATTCAAGTAAAGTGCCTGGGAAGTTTTCCAGAGAGTTAGATTGCTTTAAAATTGGCCATGCATTAAATAAAGCTTTGTCTAGCAAAAGTGAACGAGTAACTGATATGGTATCTGTACATTCACTCTGCACAAGGTTCCTTTATCTCAAATGCATTACCCAGAGACAAACAACAAATCAGATTACAGCTCGGGAGAATCATACTCTGCCTCTTTTAGCAATACTGCCAGCTCACAAAAGCATTATATGAGCACCAACCACCTGCTTCCTGAGGAATTTGTAATCTACCTGCTCCGTTCATTCCCAAAAGGCTCCCCACCTTGACCCGTATGCCCCCTTTCATTCATCCCACCGCATTCACCTTTCATCTCTAAAAGGCGCACTAGCAGTAAATGTGCAAAGAGCTTCACTTTCAAAGTGAAACAAGAAAGAGAAGAAGTCTTCAGCATTACATTTTACAAGGAAACAAAACCCCAAATTCTGAGAGTCTTGTAAATTAGAACTAAAAGCCATTGCAGGAAGAAATTCATTCTTGACTGCCTGGCTTCCTTTCACATTACCTGCTTCGGTGTACTTCAATCCCACTTTCTCTTCTGTGTCTTTTGTCTTTGGGGGTGGCCAGACAGCTTGGAGTCTGCCAGGAGTCCTGTCATCCTGCTCTGTGGGGCTCTGGTCAGGCTGTCGAAAAGTGGACAGACAGTAAGTTAAATAAAATGCGGCCAGGGCCCATTAATAAAGAAACACAAACACACTAACACTGATTAATTTTAACAGTATTAATTTTAACTGTAATGGCAAGCTGCACACTGCTATCATTCAGTGCAGTTGATACTTCTGACTATGCTGTCATCCTTTTCCAGAATGTAAAGAAAAATGTAAAACCCAAAACTCAAGGATAAATACTAACAACTCATTAGATTATTTTTATTATAAAATAATTTTTACAGTAAAACTAAACTTTAAGCTAAAGATATAGACAGAAATTTACTGTGTTCACATACACTTATCAGAAATGTTTACTAATGTATTCCAATGAACTCCAGGATTATTTATAGTAATAAGAACTTATTTTGAATTTTCCATGAACATTAGCGACAAACCAAGACAAACCAATACTTCTCTAAGCATTCCACACTGCTAATTTCAATTTCTTCTTTCTTATTACAAAATGAATCAGACTGCCTTCATATACAATTTTTTTATAGGAGTTGATTTTTCCAACTAGGAAAATCATATATTGTGCTTAGTTTCTAACTATAATTTGAGATAATTTTTCTGAAGACTTTAATTTTTAATGTTTTAGCTGAATATATTAAATGTACAAAAGAGAACAATAAACATACAGCGAATTGTATTAAGCAAGAAATTATATTCACTGCTCTTACAAACTTGTGACATCTACTGGACAAGTGCTTCCAAGGCTTGATAAATTACCTAACTCAATTTTCTTTAAATAATAACTTTCTTTAATTAGATGCTTCTCATACACCCCCTTAATTTAATCCTCACAATAACCATAAATGTAAAGGGTATTTGCTTCATTTTGCACCTGAGGACAGCGGATTTGAGATTACCAAGGTCACCCAGCCAGTAAATGACACGGTTGGAATTAAAACCTAGTTCTCAGTACAGTCAGGAAGTCTTACAACCAACACGAAACATTTCAACTACATCGCAAACATACATTTTGGGAAGTGGCAGACTTTCAAAGGAAATCATAGTTTTCAAAGAGGTATAGTCAGGAAGTGAGGAAATTCCTACAAGCCTGGGCTATACTTCCATGTTACATCACTTCCATATTCCACACTGCACTAAGGTGCTAAGCTTTTACGAGTACATTTACTACTGATGTTGAAACTCAGTGAACATTTCCTCTTCCTGCCCACAGAGCTTTATACACATCCCTCATTATATTCCAGAAAAGTATGAGGAAGAAAAGCACTTCTGTCCAATGCAATATTCCCTCTAAAGACAATTTAATTTCATTGTATTCATTTTTTACCTAAAAGAGAATACTAATTATAGGCCACTAAGATTCATTTCGACAGGAAATCTGGAAAATCTTAGCATCCCATTTTACAACAAAATGCAAAACCCAATTCTACGTACGCTTTTGGAATCAGAAGGCCCATCCACTGGCCTTGACTTGGACCTTTCAAACACAGCTCTTAGTGACTCCTTTTCATGTCTCATCTTGCGCTTGAGAGCTTCCAGCTCAGAAGTGTCAGCTGTGGTCCCCCTTTTGGGGGGACGGATGAATAAGGCTTTAAAGGCCTCCAAGGCAGTCTCTGGGGGCTTGGGCTTGACCTCGTCACTCTGGGTTTGGACATCTCCAGAGCCACCCTGGCCCTCCTGGTCAGCACTGCAGCCCATCTCTCCTCCCCTGGGCGACTCAGGGTCGGCTGCCTTCAGTTCAGTTTTGGGCATGTCAATGTTGAGCAGCTGAGAGAGCTGCTCCAGGAGAGTGGGCGTGGCCTTCGGATCAGTTGTTCGCTCACTGCTTTTCACTGCCTGTGGCCCTGCCTGCACCAGAGACTTTTGAACGGGCTGGGTCAGCTTGAGCAAAGCCAGGTCTCCGTCCTTGGGTTTAATTTCAGTGATGGTTTCCCCCACCTCAGCTGCTGCCCCCTTCTTCAGCACACGAAGCCCACTGAAAAAAGCTGGAAGCTGGAATGACTTCTCTCCAAGGACTTCTCTTTTAGAAGACATGGTCTCAGTGGCACCAGTACTCAAATTCTGGTGTGTTGCTGCAGGTGGGTCATGGGACCCTTCTCCTGCATGGCCTTGGCTGGGGCTGTGCTCTGTCTGAAGGCTACCATCTCCAGGTTCCAGGGCACTACTCCCAGCTGGAGTCCTCTGAGGACCTTCTGCACACAGCTCTGCATCACCCACTTCTCTAGTACCAATGATTGCCCTAGAATCTTCTAATTTTTCTTTAGGCTCTTGAGAAGACTCAGATAAAACATCACTGGGAGACTTTGGGCTGTTGGTGCTGCCTCCTTCCTTCAGCTCCTGGTCACCATCATCAGAGTCAGAATCACTGGTGGTGTGCACGAGGGTCCCACGGACACAAATGACATCGTCTCTGTCCACACTCAGAGCAGCAAGTGGAAGCAGCTCTTGACCAGGCAGGGAAGCCTCTGCTTCTGCTTTCCCATGACTTCCCTCTGATTCTGTTTCCACCCTTGCAGTATTCCCATCATTTCTAAAATCAGGTGGAACTGGAGTCGCTGCCTCCTGAAGATCCGAACCATTGCTGGGATCACCTTGCCGGGGTGTGGGATCCACTTCTAAACTGTGGAACGCTTTCAGCACAGCATCTTCCTCTTTAGGCTTCACGGAGTCCAATTTACTTGTAAATCCAAACAGGGATTTCATAGAGAACTTACTTAGGATTGACTGAGCCACTTCAAGTCCAGCTTCTGGTTTTTCTGGCTCCAACACATCACTGCCACTTAGAGAGTTACCAACCTCCATGTCTCTGCAGTGCCCTTGGTGGACGTTCTGACTTGAGTTACCTTCCCCGCGTTCTCAGTTTATCCTCTCCACCTGCTCTTAACTTACAGGACAGGGAACAACAGGAGGCCTGAGGGAGCCAGTCTCTCAGCAGCTCAGAGAACACACTTGGTCTCTTTCAGGTCACTGTGCCTTCCCTTCCGGTTTGCCCAACAACAGGGTGTCCAGGGCAACTGTGAAACGCCTGGAGCTCTATGACCACAAGCAGCACAGGCTGCGCACCTTACTACACACAGACGGGAGGCTGCTCTTCTGGGACTTCCGTATTTATTCCCCTGGACAAAAGGCTTTTTGTCGTTGGCCCGTAAGTAATCCCAGCCCAGAACTTCAGGAGGAGCTCCGCCCCAGAGCTCGCGCTTCTCCTGGTTGCATTCAACTTCCTCATTGGTGAGCAAGTTAAGGTTCCTGAAAGTGCTGAGCCGGCAGGCTGATCCTGACAGCCCTTAACCACCCCCTGTCCGGCCCAAGGGATTCAGAAGTGAATCAGCAGAAAATGACTGAAATACTTGTGAGCCCTCCCGGATTGTAATCAGAGAGGTTTGGTCTATCCAAGCCAAAGAACTGGCAGTGGCCCACATCAATAGCCACTTACAAAGTTCTAAGCAAAGAAATAAAATTAAAATGAAAAGAGATCATCTCAAAATGCCCACAACTCTCAAAGCCGTTAATTTACCGCCCTTAAACATTTTTTTAAGTGCTTTCTTCCCTTTCCCTGCAGGTTTCATCTGGAATGCAGATTTTAGCTTTAGGCAGCAGAAGGAAAACCAACAGGACTGGTTTCAGGTTACTGCCTTGGTAGCTTGGCCCTGGCAGTCACAGTGTTCAACAACAGGTACTTAGGCAAGCATGCCCACCACGCCTCGTGTCCACCAGCCATAGGATGGCAGAATAAACAGGCCCAGCCTGCAGAAGTGATTACCCTCTGCATTCCTCTGCCAACACTGAGCTTCTCCCAGCTCAGCAGTTGTGACTTCCTGAATTCCTTAGGAATCCCAGTGGCAGGAGGGCACTCAGCTCCTCGGCTGTTTTCCAACCAAGTGAAACCTGGCATGACAAGATGTAACACACAGCCAGGTAAAGTAATTCATCAAGGATCCTGAAGGATCCATATCCGCTAAAGAGCAAAGCACCTGAAACATGCCTATCACCCAGGTCTCTATAACAGACCCATTTTGCCTAAAATAAAAATGGAACTAAAAAAAGAACTCCAAACATTAGGTTAATGTAATTTCTACCACTCTGATTATATGCTGGAAACCTGGCAAATTAAGGACAGGGGAAAAAATTGCACTCCTGTTTCTTAGCTGCCTAACCACTGTTGTAGGCAGCTCAATTAGATAGGAACATTACAGGCAGTGAGTCAGGGCAGGGCCCTGGAAGATACCTTGCAAGTGGGGGAGAGACAGGCACTTCCCCTGTGGGCCAGACCTCAAGACAAAAGATTAAACAAATGCACCCAGATACCTCCCCAGGAATGGATATCAGGGATTGATATTCTAAATAGGTGTCAATCGCCTTGAAAAAGCCCGGAAGAGTCACTAACCCAACCCCCTGCTGGAAAAGCCCCTGTTCTGTATTCATGCCCGCTTGCAACATGACTGGCTTCCCCATTTGATCCCGATTTAATCAATTTTACCTGAGCAATTATACTCACAATCTTATTGGTTGACCGTAGTTAGGTGCCACCTCATGCCTACCTTGTGAGTTCCTAGCTTTTCACCTTGGACCCACCTCACCTCATGGATTTGCTCTATAAAAATTGCTAGAAAAGGTAGGTTCCTAGGGCCAGGGACATAGCTCAGTGGTATAAGTGCCTGCCTGGTAAGCACAAGGTCCTGAGTTCAACTCCCAGTACAAAAAAAAAAAAAAAAAAGGTAGGTTTCTTGGCAACCCACTCAGATCCCCTTCTGTCTCTATCAGACAGCTTTCTTTCCCCCCAATAAATATATTCTGCTCTTAACCTCCATTGTTCCTAAAATTCATTTTTTGATTTTAGAGAACACGAACTTGTCCCAGATATCTAGCAAGCTGGGAGTTTCTTTCTCCTATATCACTACTTTTGGGGATGGATTCCTGTCATACTCAAAGGTCTCGGTGTTTTTAAAATCCAGTCCAGTGAGCAGATATCTTTTGATGAAAAGGGTACTATGCTGGACTGAGAA